GAATATGTAATAAAAAATATACAAATCTTTTTAAAAAAAAAAGTGAAAAATATACCATATAAACAGTTTGTGAAGTTAACTTATTTTAAGCAAACTCTTTTGTATTTAAATAGGAGGTCTAAAGTATAGCTTAAAATTGCAACTATAATATATAACACTTCAAGAATGATAAGCAACCCATAGATAATAACTTAAGAACAGAGTATAGAATTCCAACTAATGATACCACATATAATCTAAATATCTCATATATATAGGTTATATTTCTAGATTCTTTTAGTAGTGTTAAAGGAATGATATGTGAATGTTAAAAGAAGAGATATGAAAGAAACATAATAAAGTATTAGTGATCTTTTCTAGCTCCAAGTGACATAACATTACATTTCTGTAATTAATGGACTTGGAATCCATTATGCACAAAGTTTGCAGTAAGGTATGAAACTTTTGTATCTCAGCTTTTATAAATGCAAGGGAATGTGAATGTTTTACTCATGTTATGAAAGTTTGTATTGGGATTTGTAGTTAATTTGAATTTTTATACTGTTTATTTATTTCTTTATTTTAATTTAAAGATGTTTAAATCATTTGTATATGAGTTTTTTTTTTGTTTTATTTAAGTATTGTGTATATAAAATATTCTTTCAGTATTTTTTTTTATTATCTATTGAATAATGAATTTGACAATTATTGTATAAAATATACTAAAAATATTTTTCTCTCAGTAAAATGTAGTTGGATTTATAAAAGAAGTTTGGTTATTTTTCAAACAATAAAGTCTTTCAAATGAAGTGATTTTGACCTTACATGATAATCAGTGGCAACTGTACAAGTTCACAGGAATGTATGCAAACTTCTTAATCATGTTCTTCACCAATGCTGGGTTGGACGTGATGTAACAGCAGACAACAACCTGCTCCCCTGGCCACCCTATTTGCCAGATTTAACACCCTGTAATTTTCTTTTTGTGGGAGTTTGTTAAAGACCAAGTTTATGTACCGTCAATGCCAGTGTCCCTTGAACTGTGTGATTGGATAAAGCATGCACTGCAGACCATCACAGAGGACATGCTACACCGCGTATGGGAAGAATTTGATTACCATGTAGATGTATGTCGTGTGACCACGGTGCACATATTGAAGGATTGTGATTAATGCATAAAAAACTTTGACAGTTGTCACTGCTTATGCTGTAAGGTTTGCCCATATAAGGTAATAAATAGATTTATTATAAATTTTTAAAACTGCATCATTCATTTATAAACACCATGTATATGTACTTAAACAATATAATTTAGTCTGAAGGCCAAATTATATTGTTTATTTAAATAATCAGTAGCCTCCTCTATCCTAAAAAATTCTAATCTTTTAGAAATTCTACTTTAATNCTTTTTAAAAAAAAAAGTGAAAAATATACCATATAAACAGTTTGTGAAGTTAACTTATTTTAAGCAAACTCTTTTGTATTTAAATAGGAGGTCTAAAGTATAGCTTAAAATTGCAACTATAATATATAACACTTCAAGAATGATAAGCAACCCATAGATAATAACTTAAGAACAGAGTATAGAATTCCAACTAATGATACCACATATAATCTAAATATCTCATATATATAGGTTATATTTCTAGATTCTTTTAGTAGTGTTAAAGGAATGATATGTGAATGTTAAAAGAAGAGATATGAAAGAAACATAATAAAGTATTAGTGATCTTTTCTAGCTCCAAGTGACATAACATTACATTTCTGTAATTAATGGACTTGGAATCCATTATGCACAAAGTTTGCAGTAAGGTATGAAACTTTTGTATCTCAGCTTTTATAAATGCAAGGGAATGTGAATGTTTTACTCATGTTATGAAAGTTTGTATTGGGATTTGTAGTTAATTTGAATTTTTATACTGTTTATTTATTTCTTTATTTTAATTTAAAGATGTTTAAATCATTTGTATATGAGTTTTTTTTTTGTTTTATTTAAGTATTGTGTATATAAAATATTCTTTCAGTATTTTTTTTTATTATCTATTGAATAATGAATTTGACAATTATTGTATNTATTTGTTCCCATTGTGTAGAAGGACACATTTCAAACTTCGTTTTGAGCTGTCAATAAATAGGTGCCAATCATTGAAAAATATTCAAGAAGGGTCTTCTAATTTTGTGACAAAACACAAAATTGTCTTCTTGAGAGAAGAATGGTAGCAGATCCTTTTCTCTTGTACGGTAAAAGGTAATTTTGGTTTCTTGCTCCAGTAAATTTTTCTCCTTCGACCCAGAAGCCAATAATTCAGAAGCTTCTTTTGGCATGTTGAGATCTCTAGTGAGGTCATTTAACTCATCCTGGTTGAAACATTGAGGAATTGATGACATTCTCTCTTAATCACAGTCACCTTCATTAGGATCAGAGGGATACTCGTCCTCACAGAGCTCTGATAGCTGGTGAAATGATGGAACTGGCACTTCCTGTGAGTGAGGGACCGGGTGTCATGCAGAGACTAAATCAGGATAAGTCCACTTGCTACGGTTGTTACGATTGATTCCACTAATATTTACTAGGCAGAAATAACAGTCATCGAAGTGATTTTTGGGTTCAATCCAAACCATCGNAAAGATAATTGATAAAAAAAATTTTTTTTCAATTATATTTTATTTTATTTATGTTAATAAAATAAAGTAAATAAAAGTTATTTAAGTTTTTCATATCATTTTCATTGATTATTCATCAGGCATTTTCCAATTTGCCAGTTGCCTTCAAATGTAACTGTCTCAGTTTTGCATCTTTATTATTACTTCATAATTTTTTAATATTTATATGATTTAGAAATTAGAGAAGAATAAAAATAGGAAAATAGAGATTAAAATGAATTATTTAGAATAAAATTCAAAAATTTTTATTTTTTATCCTGAAAAAATATGAATAAATTTCTTACTTAATATATGATTTATGTTAGTAATTATTTTAAAAAATGAAAATTTCATGCTATACTGTTTTATTAATACTTCCTTTTAAACTTTGTTTTATTAAAGTCCAATTAGTTATTGACATAATTAACTTTCTGGTTATAAATTCCAAATAAGTTTATAGAATTTCCTACTCAGTCAGTTACATTTTCCTACTTTATTTAAATCTTATATAGATTGTTATATTTCATGTATAGAAATTTATTTTTGATTAAAATATTTTTCAAATTGAAATATATGATATGATGATGAGTTAAAAAGATATACAGTACTAGCTGTTACCAGCGACTTTGCCTGTGAGGATTTTGCAAGCAAACCCCATTTATATTCAGTATTTCAACAACCATAGTAATTGTTATATAACACCTACCACTGAGAATGATGAGAATTGCCAAGAATCTAACAAACTATTTTCAATTTGATCAATTTTCTGAAATGTTTACAATCGTTCTATAATCGAACCAATATGCAATAACAAATTCGAATTTAAAACGGTTCGAACATTTGGTTAAAAAATCAAAATATATAAAAATATTTATAACAATGTCTGAAATGTTATTAATTTAATACACCTAAGTACTCTATNCGAATACTGATTGGTCTTCCTTTGTCTTCAGGCAATAATTCGAAACTTTTCGGAGTGCGGGAGATGTCAACATCGACGTTCAACCCAGAATATACTGATCAGATAGTATTCTCCCAAACTTTGAAACTCTCCCTTGTAATTCCAGCCTTTTATATTTCTGATAGAAACAATTCTTTTATGTTTTCTTCTGAAAAAGTGGATTTATGCCGATATCTGCTATAAAAAATCTTTTGAAGAAGTGAGAGGATGTCAGAACAATGGTCTTAAAATGGCATCCCAACCAGGTTGAGGTTGAGCTTAGGGATCTCTACAATCACAATGCAATTAATTACTTCTGAAAAATCATGAAGAAGACAGAAAAGCAATTGACATTGGACGGATTCTTTAACCCCCATAAATGGAAAAAACAAATGCAAGACTGTGTATATATGTATTTTTATTATTACATATGAATAAACGTAGTAAGAAAGTATATATTTTTTATTTTTTGGGCGTCTCCAGAATGAATTAATCAAATTCCCATAGAAACCTATGGTAAATCGATAATCGGTTAACGAACAATTCAGATAATGAACAAAGTCTTGGAACAAATTATGTTCGTTAACCGATCATCCACTGTACATACAAATCTGAAAGTGATTACAATAAGTTGATTCTATTATAATACAACATTCCTTTTCTTTTAACTTGAGAAAATAAAATATTTATTATTTTATTTTCTCAAATTGTTATTAAAGTAAATAAATAATTATATTTATTTAGTTTATACCAAATGATTGCCAGCCTATAATAATGATTTGGTATTAAACCAAAAATCAGGTAATTGGGGGTTTATAGTTGATTATATTTATTTAAATTGGAAGTAAATAAGTAGCATTCTTATTTACTTTCAATAAGCTAACTCACATTCAGCAGTAAACTAATTAATTTTCAAACATTCATTTATGCTGAGAAAACATTTTAACGTTCACAAACATTTTCAACCTGTTTTACAAGTCATCTTCAAATGCATCATACAATTATCAACTATTTTACATAGAACATTCATAAATGGATTTAAATTCAAAAGTTGGAATAAAATATCATTATATACATTATATTAATACTGTAGCATTGATTTATGCATATTTGAAATATGTGAAGTTGTTTTCTTTCATTTTGTGAAATGAAATGTTTGATACAATTAGTTCCAACTAATATTTATGAAAATGAAATATTTTAATTACACGCATGCAGAGATTGAAAATTTCCACATGCTCCAATTAAATAACTTGTAGGTTCCAGTTTCCATTTCCTTTGTTTCATTCACACTGTGTATTTGTTCATTAGATATAGTGTCATTCATTGTAATGAGGTTAAAAAAAATTGAATTTTTAAAAACTAATGTGTGCCAAATTCAATAATATAAAAAAAGAAAAAGAAATTCAGATTTAGTAAATTTAATAACAATAGAGAAATGATAGCTTTCTATTTTCTTTGCATAGAGGAATCCTCTATGCAAAGAAAAGAGAAAGCTATCATTAATACAGGTTTGTAAATTTGTACAGGTTTGTCATTAATAAATACAGGTTTGTACTGATTATAATTTTTGAAAGTCAAATGTAAAATCTTTTTGACTTAAAGGAATACCAATAGGTTCACTCTTCAGTGTGTTTTGTGGCTTAATAGTCTTAAAAAAAATTTAAATGGCAAAAAAAATAATACAAATCTAACAAAATATTAACTGATATTATATCAGTTAATATTTGCTTATAAAAACTAAATGCTTAGAAATTTTTGTTAAATATATAATATATTTAACAAAAATTTCTAAGCATTTAGTTTTTTCAAAAAACAAAATGTTATATGTGTATGGATGATATAATAATATATGGAAAACAAATGAAATTATAGCGGGTTTGATACAGAAATTTTATTATAATGTGTTAAACTTTATTCCAAAAAGAGAAAGTAGGATACTTTTATGGATATTATAAATTATAAAAGAAATAAATATGCTATTGCTATATGTAGAACAAAATAATTCATGCCAGTTTACTTACCAAGTGTATTTTGAAATCCCAAAACATCATAGAAAATAGGCATTATAGAGTAAAAAAGATTTATCTACATGCTACCTCGTTAAATAAAAAAGAAACTGCAATGTTAAAGTAAAACTTAAATAAAATAAAAATGCTTTCATCTAGTTCGACTACTTTAGTTAATTGAACAGAACCAAAAAAACGTTCCAAATGAGTACAATTTAAATTTATACTTTAGTATTGGCTAAGAAACAAACAACAGATTAATGCACAGGTATCTCTTATACAACATGGCATTCCTATAACAAGGTTCTCTAACATTGTTTGAGAATTGGAAAAATTCCCCATACAACATAGTTTGAAAATTGGAGATATACCCATACAAAACATAACAATTTTTAAGTGCAAACACTTTCATTCGATATTTTTTTTATTCAAGCAAGCATGCGTGTTGTCTCATATTTGACCACAGATTTTAGAATATTGAAATTTTCAATGTTGTTTTGTGCCTTTTGTCTTTTTCAGTTTTACAATTTTTCTTCTTCTTTGTCATATTTTCCTGTTCTAGCTTTCCCATAAACCATGTGTTGCTGTTGTTGATAGTTCCTAAATGAGCTGAAGACTCACTGTGTTTTGTTTTTATAGATTAAATTAAAAGTTATTGTGTAAGATTAAATTTTTAAAGATTTCTTAGGCAAATGCAAGCAAAGACAATTAATATATCAGATTTTATGAAAAAAATGTAGAGGAAAATCAAGATGCTGACGTGACATTTCAGATTAAGATCAACGTGAAAGCTCAGATGATATTTTGCCAAAAAACAAAAAAATCCTCATTTAATGACATTTAGCAATGAACAAAAAATTAATATTAATGTGCAATACTTTTGATTGTGATTGTTAGTGAATTATTAATTGCTTTAATAAACATTTTCCTCATAATTACAAAAAAGAATAATACACTTTTTCTAACTTTTGAAATCTAACTGTTCTGTACTAGTTCTTTGTTTCATATAGCATGGATTTGCATAACATGGCATCTTTTCGGATCCTAACTACCATGTTATATAGGGATGACTGTATTTACTTGTTATAGATGTTTATGAAAATATGTTAGTTTTAAAAAGGTGAAAAAATAGATTACGAAAGCAAATATAAAACAATTGTACAGAAATTAAACAGAAGCAATTTTTAAAATTTTGTAATTTACGACACAAAAATAGGAAATTTTTACATTAAAAGTTGGATGATTAATTGAGATAGAATTAAGAACTGTAATAAAGGCAAACAGCTTTAAAGGAGTTTTCAATTTTTATACAATTTTTAATTTTTTATACAATTTTTATACAATTTTCAATTTTTTCATTGATTTCCATGCAATTATCAGATGAAGAAAAATGACCAACTCTATTATGTTTCTCTTATTTAAAAAATGTCACTTTTATGCTCCTGTAATCTTGTTTTAAGGAGAAGGTTGTAATACTTATATAGTGAACATTCGTATTGTTGGAAATTAAAAAATATAATGTCATTGCAAAAGTGATGCTGGATTTTTATCATTCAGTCAAAGAAAAAGTTTCATTGGTTAGCTAGCAATCAAAGATAAGAACTTTTCATTTCAGACAGGTTTCTGCTAATTTTTAATTCATTAATTTTGTTTTCTATATCTTGTTATAAAATAAATTTCAGAGAAATGTTTTTAGAATGAATTTTTGAGAACTTTACAATTTTTATTTTATATACTTTTGTAAAGCTAATTATTATATATAATTCATAATGTGATTAATATAGTTTTTATATTAAATATATAATAAATATTTTAATCTTGTTATTAGATACTCAACAAGCACTTCAACTATTAGAAAGAATACAACAGCAGCTTAGGGAATCAAATGGTACCAGTGCAAATCCAACAGTGGAAGATGATGTTAACACACTCATTAGTGTTTTGGATAGTCCCGTATTTAACACTATACTTACTATACAGGTAAAAAAAAAAAAACTTTTACTGAATTAATTTTATTTTAAATTATTAACACTTTCTGGACTGGAGTAAGTCTTTGTGAATGTCCCAACAGATTGGGAAAATTTATTTTCAGTTTTAAAATTTAAATGACTGATGTAAAATTTAAAATGCCAATTATTATTTTATCATTTTTCAGGATTCACTTCATGAATTAAAGAATCAACTTCATAAACATCCATCAATACTTCCAGTTGATTTTGATATAACCCCTGCTACTGGAGAGTTGTTACTGAATGTTCCTACTGATGTAGTGGGTAATTCTGACTCTTTTGAACCAAGTTCTGATCCAGAACAAAATTATGAATTTGATCCCACCCTTAATAAAGATAAAATTTCTCAAGTAAAAGATAATGCAAATTCATTGGCAGAAGTGAGTAAAACTTTTTTAATAATTATAATAATGCAGTTTAATAAATTCCTTTAAATATTTCAGAGTTTAAGTTTTGTTTTAATTACAGTAGAAACTCAATTATTTGAAATAGTTAAAAAAAAAACAAAAAATCAGAATATGTAGCATTGTACATACCACAGAGTATAATACACAGAGACTAAACTCTCTATATAACTTGAAGTCACTGTCATCTGTAGCACTGCAGATATAGGTCCTATATGTAACATTATGTTAGATTTTGAGTAAATTAATTTACCTTCAAGTACAGTAATTATATTATAGTATTTATTGTTAATGAGACTTTAAATGATGTACCCAAAGTATGAAATCAAATTGTTTTTGGATTATCTGAAATTTTATTTAACTGAAATACTCCCTGGTTCCATCAAGTTTGGATAATTGGGTTTTTACTGTATACAATTTTAAAAATGGAATTTCACATAGAAATTTGTAATTTGGAAAAGAAGTACTCATAATAATAGAACTAATAATACAGTAAACATTTCATGTAGATAACTTATGAGTTGTATGTTCAAAAGGAAATTTGAAAGTGAGTGCAAGTTATGTGATAGGATATGTTAGATGTCAATTTTAAATTTCAGTTATGAACTCATCAGTCAGCTTTTCCTTTGTCTAAAGTCAATAAGATAGTCTTTAGAAACCAAAGAATCCTGTGTGCACTAATAGACATTTGACATGGCAATTTTTCTCAAATCAAAACTAGAGATATGCATGTGAATACTTCATCTCTAGTTCTCTGAAATTTTAATATAATAATATGGTGATATAATTTTTAAATTATAATGTTTTTCATCTACTTTATAGAACATTATCAGGAATAACTGTTTTGCAAGTTACTGTAATTATTAATAAGAATGTAATAACATGAACTGATAAGGGAGAGTTTTAGAGTTTTTCTCTCCTAATTTCTCCAAGCAAATTTCTTGGAAATATGTGGGATTTCTTCAGTTTTCTTGAAATTTAGTCCATGTTAATTATTCTGCAGTGAGGATGAAGAAAGTGGAGAGAGAGATAATGAAACATGTACTGATAACACAATACACTGCTGCTTCTTTTGGGTTGCCAATTGTTATCCCATTACCTACTGGACAAGAGTATGCAAAACAGTAAAATTTAACATAATATAAATTCAACTGTTTTTTATAAATATATTATGACATACATATGCTGTATTTTTTTTTTGTTTTTTTGAACTGGCAACATTGCTGGAAATTGGCTATAATTTAACAAATTTCCAAAAGACTATCAAATATTTTTCTCAATTGTTTATATATTTATTTATGCATTTTTTTGTATTGCTTTTGTTTCTGGTTTAAAAGAATTGCAATTTTTATTTTTAGCATGTAAACATTTCTACTGTATATACTATAGTAAATTAAAAATTATCAGTCTCCATTATCAATTCTCATTACAGCAAATTATATTTAATGTGTTTTAATGACTTATTTATTAGAAAAATGATTAAAAAAATATATAATTACAGAAACTATTTAACCATTTAGATTAATAATTTAGAGAAAATTAGACTAATAGAGGTTAGTGACTCATCTGGAAAATTTATGCATTGAAGAAATTTATATTTGCATGAAATTGGGAAAACTCTTGGTATTTAAGCAAATTTGAAGAAAATTCAGGAATATTGTTTAATTGAAATTTTCAATTTTAATATGATTTTCAATTTTAGATTCATTTGAAAATTTAATCTAGTCTAATCTAACATTTTGTCCAAAATTTAAGAACATGAATAAAATAATTCCATTTAATTTGAATTTAAATTCTATTCCTTTATTTTAATTTTTAATACCATTTTGATACAATATAATAGAATATGTAATAAAAAATATACAAATCTTTTTAAAAAAAAAAGTGAAAAATATACCATATAAACAGTTTGTGAAGTTAACTTATTTTAAGCAAACTCTTTTGTATTTAAATAGGAGGTCTAAAGTATAGCTTAAAATTGCAACTATAATATATAACACTTCAAGAATGATAAGCAACCCATAGATAATAACTTAAGAACAGAGTATAGAATTCCAACTAATGATACCACATATAATCTAAATATCTCATATATATAGGTTATATTTCTAGATTCTTTTAGTAGTGTTAAAGGAATGATATGTGAATGTTAAAAGAAGAGATATGAAAGAAACATAATAAAGTATTAGTGATCTTTTCTAGCTCCAAGTGACATAACATTACATTTCTGTAATTAATGGACTTGGAATCCATTATGCACAAAGTTTGCAGTAAGGTATGAAACTTTTGTATCTCAGCTTTTATAAATGCAAGGGAATGTGAATGTTTTACTCATGTTATGAAAGTTTGTATTGGGATTTGTAGTTAATTTGAATTTTTATACTGTTTATTTATTTCTTTATTTTAATTTAAAGATGTTTAAATCATTTGTATATGAGTTTTTTTTTTGTTTTATTTAAGTATTGTGTATATAAAATATTCTTTCAGTATTTTTTTTTATTATCTATTGAATAATGAATTTGACAATTATTGTATAAAATATACTAAAAATATTTTTCTCTCAGTAAAATGTAGTTGGATTTATAAAAGAAGTTTGGTTATTTTTCAAACAATAAAGTCTTTCAAATGAAGTGATTTTGACCTTACATGATAATCAGTGGCAACTGTACAAGTTCACAGGAATGTATGCAAACTTCTTAATCATGTTCTTCACCAATGCTGGGTTGGACGTGATGTAACAGCAGACAACAACCTGCTCCCCTGGCCACCCTATTTGCCAGATTTAACACCCTGTAATTTTCTTTTTGTGGGAGTTTGTTAAAGACCAAGTTTATGTACCGTCAATGCCAGTGTCCCTTGAACTGTGTGATTGGATAAAGCATGCACTGCAGACCATCACAGAGGACATGCTACACCGCGTATGGGAAGAATTTGATTACCATGTAGATGTATGTCGTGTGACCACGGTGCACATATTGAAGGATTGTGATTAATGCATAAAAAACTTTGACAGTTGTCACTGCTTATGCTGTAAGGTTTGCCCATATAAGGTAATAAATAGATTTATTATAAATTTTTAAAACTGCATCATTCATTTATAAACACCATGTATATGTACTTAAACAATATAATTTAGTCTGAAGGCCAAATTATATTGTTTATTTAAATAATCAGTAGCCTCCTCTATCCTAAAAAATTCTAATCTTTTAGAAATTCTACTTTAATGTAACTTTAATTCTTATGATTTGACATTTATAATGCTTATAATATATTAGTTGAAGAGTTGACAGAGTTAATAATAATTATAATTAAAAAGTTTTCTTAGTATCAGTCTCTTTTGCTGTGTATTTTCTATTTGAAACATCTTTTAAATTGGATGACTAATCAACAAAGATTGGAAATTGTGTCATGGAATATGGAGAGTTTTGTTTTGTTTACATATCAGAAAGAGAGAGGGGGGGAAAATAATAATCGAACAGTTCATACATATCTATACCAGTAAATGGAATAGTTGTATGTTATTACATTTATAGACTTGTTAGAGCAGCAGCAGCAGCAAAATGGCAAAATTAATTTACATTGATATTGGCCCAATATTCATATCACATGTTAGTGCCAGCCACAATAATCTAGATAGATTCATAACATTTTTTTGGTAAATCTGAATAATGATAAAATATTTTAAAGAAAGTTTTGATTGTGTTGAATCTTATCGTTTTCTGATTTATTTTATATTATTGTTTTTTTAATGAAATTTGTATCTATAATAATAATAATAATAATAATAATAATGATTATGATTTTGTTTATTTTTTCTTTAGATCTCAATTCCTACAATAGTATCACCAAACTACCTCTTATCTTCCATCACTACCATTACTACTGAAAGTTATGCTGAAGAATTTCATAGAACAATAGTACAAGGTGCTCGAGGCAGAGATATTCATAATATACAATTATATAAGCCAGAAGGTAGCAGTTTGGGCTTTAGTGTTGTCGGATTACGAGCTGAAGATTGTGGAGAACTTGGTATATTTGTTCAAGAAATACAAGCTACAGGAATAGCTGGAAGGTATGCTTTAATAAAACATATAATAAGTTTTTAAGTACTTTATTTTCAGATTTTTTTTTTTATATTAAAATTCTGATCTTAATATATTTTTAAAAATAACAAGAGCTAGTAACATATATTTGCCCTTCAAATTTTCAGCTTTAAAAGTTTTTTAAAGTAGAAATATGGAAAAACAGTGTGCAATTAAGGATATTCAAATAAAAATTTGCTTGTTTTTTAAAATGAAATATAAACAATAACAAAACAATTTGAAAATATTAGAATTAACTTTACCATTAATTTATTGGCACCTTACTTGTTGAATAGCAAGTTTCACTTTAAAAAAAAAAATTGTTAGTTTAAAGCTGCTTTTCCAAAGCTGTAAGATGAGTTATTTTGTAATTTTTATGGACTTTCAACAAATGAAACAGTAAAAACTTTTAGTTGTATAGATTAAAAAATAATCCAAAGTGACTTGGTATTCAAATGGTGTTCAAAATGACTACATGGTATTCAAAACGACAAAAATAATCCAAAAATTAAAATTTTAGGAATGTTACCTGGATATTCTTTTCCAATAATATAGCATTTATGGTGCCTATCACTTTCAATCCATAATATAGATGAAAGATACATTCCTTTTGCTACTGATTTATTTCTCATGCTCTTTTAATCCTTCTCAAATACAATGAGTTTAATACAGTTTTCTTAGTATAGTGTAGAATACAGCACACCTTTCTTGAATATACTAGTTGTCTTAACACTTTTGATTCAGTATTTATATTAATTTGTGTTACATATAAATTTCCCATTTCTTCTAATTTCTTCTACATTGACCATTTATCTTCACATTAAAAATAACACCTTTCAAATTTCACACAAAGCCCATGTTAATTGGTGTAAGCTGAGATAATTTACAGCTAGTTTCTTAAATTTAATATGTTTATTTTTTGCATTTTTGAATCAAATAACAATAAAATACACATAAAAGCACTTTCAGAATTCCACAAGTATTTTAAGTCATTGCAAAGAAGAGAAAATGAAGAAATTAATCATATAATCGTAGTTTTTGATGTAATGCTGACAATCAATCAATATCGTTTATTAGATACTATAATTAGTACATTCCTGGTACCACATAGCATTGCCGGGATGTAATGCTGACAGTTTCACAGTTTTAGAATAAGAATTTGTTCATGTTTTTTAATGTGCCATCTAGAGAGGGATGTATAACTTCACTTAAACTGGCATGCCAGCTTTTACCTTATGGAAATATCTGATTTCTAGGTCTCCCTGGATAGACCGGCATGCCAGTCATTCTGCAAAAATACAGTATAAATGCAATACAAAATAAATAAATGTGACAAAATACTTCTTTAGTTTTCTGCTAGTTATAGCAGGTCCAATGAGCACCACTTTTTTTTCTATGATAGTCTATCCTGCACTTTTGTCTTTAGCTCCTTATAACTACACTCTTTTAAGTCATCCACCATTTTAATTCCTCTTCTCCCTCGTTCCATAAGCTTTCTTCTCGAATCATGTGTCCCATCCAATTAGCTTTTTGCCTCTTTATTGTCTAATATGCTCCTGTTTTCACCCACTCTTCTTAGGATTTCCTCATTTTTATCTTATTGCTTCATCTGACTTTCTCTATACTTCTCCACAGTCACATTTCTAGGGTTTCTATTCTCCTAATGTCACATTGTCTAAGGTCCAAGTTTCTTCACCAATAGAGGAAAACACTCCAGATATAGCATTTGACCAGACTTTATCTGAATTTAATTTCAAGAGAACCACACAAAATTGTTTTCATTTTGCTAAATGCATCTTTTGCCATTCTGATTCACCTTTTGTTTTCTTTCCCACTTCTGCACTCAGAGTCAAGCCAAGCACCTAGGTATCTAAACCCGTTTACTTGTTTCATCTTTTCACCATTTATATGGATGTTGACCTTTCTTTCCTTTTCTCTGATCCGTAGCACTTAGATTTTGTTAACAATAATGTGAGACAAGCAGAGGGCCACTGGGACGATCCCTAATGACCACTTACGCTGCACAGGTTGTTGGATGGCTTAGGAAGGCAAATTGAGTGGGGAGTGCGCTGGTGAGCAGGCAGGCGTCTTTTCAATGACAGGTGACAGGTTTAACAAAATAACAAAGCATTTATTGAATAACTAATCCTAATTACAAAAGGTGATAATAATATAGATGTAAAATGCGGTTAAATATGAGTTAACTATACAAAGGGCCGCACTTAACAGCTCTAATGGCTATTCTGAGAGAGAGAGTTCTCAAAGCTCTAAATAAAAATACCTCTATGAGGAAATGAATGGTATGCGTTATTCAACGCATACCATTCATTTCCTCATAGAGGTATTTTTATTTAGAGCTTTGAGAACTCTCTCTCTCAGAATCGTAGAAATCGTAGAAATCGTAGTCGGTGATAAGTATGGAAAATGTAGTTTGGCGATAAGTATGGAAGTTCGAAGTTGTGATCTGTTGTATGTCGATGTCTTCTCACTTTCAGTCATTGCGTCCGGGGTATGGAGACAAGATGCACACATTAACAAGTATAACTTCCTTTGGATTGCCCTGAGCTTCTGGGCAATCCAAAGGATAGGCTCAAGCTTTTATACATTCTTCGTGGGAAAGGAGTTACGTGATCGTCATCTGTTGACATTAACGGTGTACTCCTGTCAACTTTCCCACCTAATTGTGAAAACAAACAGTGACCTCCAATCTAATTTTCACCAAGAGCGGGTTTTTTTCCATTGGAGTTGTTTACAAAGGTTTTTCCAACAACTACGTAAAAATCACAGATTTCACAATAATTTTTATTTTGAAGGTCGCAAACCCCCAACTCTAGTCTATTTAGGACCTTTCTCATTTTACTCTTGCTCTCTGCCAGAATTGCCATATCATCAGTATATCAGTATACCTTAGGCACTGAATCTGCCAACCCCCAATTTTAATGCCTTCTTTTTCGTCTTGATATTCTGTAATCATTTCTTCCAAGTATATATTGAAAAGAAACGATGATAAACACACCTGCTTAACATCCTTTTCAATCTTGATTTCCTCACTGTATTGATCAATTACTTTAACTACTGCTTTCTGATATTTGTATAAGTTTAGTAGTAATCTCCCATCCTACCAATCTACTCCTTTGTATCTCAAAATATCCATCAACCTTTCCCAGTCAATTTTGTCAAATGCCTTCTCAAGATCTATAAAACACACACATTCCTTTTCCTTTTCCAATGTATTGTTCTCCTATGGTTCTCATCACTCCTATTGCTTCTATAGTGCCTCTTCCCTTTCTGAACCAAAACTGTTGTTCCCTTATGAATGGATTCAGTTTTCTATAGAAGCATTTCTCTAATATTCTTAATAGGATTTTTGAAGTATGGGAGATTAGACTAATTGTTCTATAATCTTCACATTTGGTTGTTTTATCTTTCTTTGAAATGGGAATTAAAATATTTCTCAGAAAGTCATTTGGCCATATGCCTTGATCATGTTGCAAAACCTGAAAATTTTCTTAATTTTGTTTTTGCCCATATTCTTAATGAATTCTATAGGGATGCTATTGATACTTTCTGCTTTTCTGTTTTTTAATCTTTATGCTATACTCATAATCTTTTTCATCAAGATTGGAGCTCCTCCATCTTTATCAACATCACTTTCTTCTACCTTTAGTTCTGTATTATCTTCTGCTCTGTACAGATGACAAAACATAATACACTGAATTATATAAATACAATAATAAATGAATATAATAAAATACATAAATGAATATAATAAAATACATAAATAAATAACAAAAATTATAAATTTCATAGTTAAAAATAACTTATATAAAAAGAGCAATCAAACATTTAAGCAGAAATTAAGTACAGGCAACAAATGTAATTTGTGAAAACAATGAGAATAAGGTATCTTATTACAGTACTACCAATTTGCTTTGTATGGCATAACTAACTACTGTTGTATTCAAAAACAAGTTGATTAACATGTTGGTAATTATAGAGTTGAAGGAAACTATTAGAATACTAAAATTCTAAAAAAAACCAAATCATAGAATAACTTGGTCTCTATTATTGTAGTGTGATTAGAATTTCCAATAGCAGATAAAACACTAATTCTTGATACTCAAATTGTCTTATTGACATATGAGTTAATAAGGGACACATCTGAGAACTATTTGAATATATAACACAAGTTCTTGGAAACAAAAAACCTTTTGTAATCAAACAATTTTTAATTTTTGCATTTGAATACTCTCATCTTTACTTGGAATTAATTTGGATTAAGCCTAATAATAAATTTTTTATGTAGACTTTGTAAAAATGATTTTACTATTAAAAATGAATCAAATTGTGTGACATATATCTGATGTAGTTTAAAGATAAAACAGATAAAAATGTTAAACCTTTTAAAACAGAAACTTATCAAAATGAAAAAATATTTAGTACCATGCAATTTTTGTTTATTGTATAATAGTATAATAGTCTTTGTAGTCTATCACTTGCCAGTTCAGCACATCCAGTAATCTAACACTCCATAGGGTGGTGCACATGAAATTTTCAATTTATCCTTCCAATGTAACCTATGTGACAGAGACTGATGTACAGTATATGTATACTGTCAGTTACTAGTTGTTCATTGCTTATGAGGTTGGAAAACAGTCACAATCTATAATTAATATGATAAACTAATTTGTGAACCAAGTGTTTTTTTTTTTTTTTACTGTACAGTATTTACAGTACATACATACAAAATCCAGTAATATATGATCTGATATATGTTGGATTAAAGAGACTTTATTGTATTTTTGTTAAATTTATAAGGCCTGATTTAATTACAATAGTTTATAGTAAATTAACTAAACTAATGTTTGAGCAGCTTGATATTCTAATACTTCTAATACAGGAAAAAAGTTATGTTGGAACAATGATTGGATTATATGATTTGATGATTATGGTTTCTAATGAAAATAACATATGACTCTTGTCTACTTTGTTACCTGGAGATAGGACAAACTGTGTGTGTTTTTTTTTTTTTTGTAAGGTTCTTTCTTAATATGTTCCTTCTGTGTTCTTGCAGTCTTGTTCACAGTGATCTTAAAAGTGGCTCTGAAAAAAGTGTGGTAGAAAAAAATATGGTAGAAATTCTTTGATTACTGATACTATGCTGTCAAAAATATAATTTTATTGGAATTTGCATTTTTTTTTTCCAATCAACAGCATGACATTTGCCACAGAATATTAAACATTTGGAACAACAGATTTCACAAATTGTTTTCATACATTAGATTTTTTGAAGTAAAATATTTTTTTCATTTAAATTGCTTTGAAGACATTTTATATTTATTCATATATATATGTAACTTCATACTGACTATTTTATGCTTTTCTCCTTATATTTTTATAGTTTGTCACATCAATAATTTACAGCAGTTTTCATAAAATATTAAATTTTTATGTAGTTTTATTATCTTTTTATTTAAAAAGTTTTTAGAAAATATTGTAATTCTTCTGTTGCTAATCATCATATATGAAATGACCTAAAACATTTTACAAAAATATCATGAGTTTATTTTTAACACATACATCATTAGGACAAGTTATAAAACTAATTTTAAACTCTTAACTCTGGAATTTCTCTTGAGTATGTTTGAGGTGAATTTAGTTTTTAAGTGCTTTTTTTTTTTAAATAGAATATGAAGTGTTTTTAGATTTATCATTTATTATTATAACAACAAATTTGACATTCAATAACTATGAAGTTAGTGAAAAAATTAGGTTTTTGATTCTTTTTAAATATGAACATTTTTATATTACAATCCAATAGTTGATCCAGTAGTTATTATTCAATTTGAATAGTTATTATTATACAATAACAACTATTTCAAAACAATAATTAATATTTGTGTTTTTATTAACTCTAATTCATAGTTAAGAAAATTCAAAGTTTAATAGTTAATTTTCTGTTTAAATTTGTAAATTGCTTACATTAATTGGAAATAATTGTTATATGATATAAGAGTATTACATTTTGATTATTTTATCAAGTTTTCTAATTATAATTGGTAAAAAAAATATTTTATACTGTTTATTTATTTCTTTATTTTAATTTAAAGATGTTTAAATCATTTGTATATGAGTTTTTTTTTTGTTTTATTTAAGTATTGTGTATATAAAATATTCTTTCAGTATTTTTTTTTATTATCTATTGAATAATGAATTTGACAATTATTGTATAAAATATACTAAAAATATTTTTCTCTCAGTAAAATGTAGTTGGATTTATAAAAGAAGTTTGGTTATTTTTCAAACAATAAAGTCTTTCAAATGAAGTGATTTTGACCTTACATGATAATCAGTGGCAACTGTACAAGTTCACAGGAATGTATGCAAACTTCTTAATCATGTTCTTCACCAATGCTGGGTTGGACGTGATGTAACAGCAGACAACAACCTGCTCCCCTGGCCACCCTATTTGCCAGATTTAACACCCTGTAATTTTCTTTTTGTGGGAGTTTGTTAAAGACCAAGTTTATGTACCGTCAATGCCAGTGTCCCTTGAACTGTGTGATTGGATAAAGCATGCACTGCAGACCATCACAGAGGACATGCTACACCGCGTATGGGAAGAATTTGATTACCATGTAGATGTATGTCGTGTGACCACGGTGCACATATTGAAGGATTGTGATTAATGCATAAAAAACTTTGACAGTTGTCACTGCTTATGCTGTAAGGTTTGCCCATATAAGGTAATAAATAGATTTATTATAAATTTTTAAAACTGCATCATTCATTTATAAACACCATGTATATGTACTTAAACAATATAATTTAGTCTGAAGGCNATTTTGCAAGCAAACCCCATTTATATTCAGTATTTCAACAACCATAGTAATTGTTATATAACACCTACCACTGAGAATGATGAGAATTGCCAAGAATCTAACAAACTATTTTCAATTTGATCAATTTTCTGAAATGTTTACAATCGTTCTATAATCGAACCAATATGCAATAACAAATTCGAATTTAAAACGGTTCGAACATTTGGTTAAAAAATCAAAATATATAAAAATATTTATAACAATGTCTGAAATGTTATTAATTTAATACACCTAAGTACTCTATGAAGACTAAATCATCTCCCTCTCCCCCCATGTGGAGAATTTCTAAAAACCCCTTCTTAGTGTGCATTCTCATGGCATACCCTACTACAATGCAGATAAAAACAAAAAATTGCATCTAAAAAGTACAGTACAAGCCGTTTTTCCGGTTAAGCTTTAATGCTCTCCCTCTCCCCCCGCGGGGAAATTTCTAAAAATTTCTTCTTAGTGTGCGTTTTCATGGCGTACTCTGTGTACCAAATTTCACCTCTAGGTTCAGTGGTTTGCTCTGGGCAATGATGAATCAGTGAGTGAGTCATTCAGTCAGTCAGGACAAGCAATTTTATATATATAGATTTATATATAATCCTTATTAATGTTGTTGAAATAATCATCATTATAATTTGTAAATCTCTAGTCTTGCAGTTTTTTTGAATTTCAATTACAGTAGAACCAAATTGAACCAAATCTGAGATAATGTGGGACTGATGCTACTTGGATAACTGAAATACAGTACTTGGATAACTTGGATAACTGAAATGACTATAGTGGTCAAGGGTGATCGTGTGGCAGTGGTGAGGGACGACTATAGTTGTCAAGTAATTTTAAGGGGTATCGACAAAAACTAGCCTATAACTACCACGAAAAACCATTTACATAGAAAATTAATTATCTAACAATAAAAAGAAAGACTTTTTTTTTTTTAACTAGACATAACTGTTTACAAAATCTTTTTCCGAAAAAATAATGAGAAATAATGATTGAAAAAATACTTCTAAAATTTTTCACATTTATTCTCCACTACCTGGGGTAGAAACAGGTTTGACTAGTCCACTGTTGAAAGGTTAATCGAAAGTGTTTCAATCGGCAAATTCAAATTTCCACTAGTGCTGTGGCATTGCAGTGCACTCACTCTCCCTGCCAACCTAAACTGTAGGCCTACTTTAATGTACTTTTATGTAAGGTATGAATTTGTAAGACATGTGATTCAAAATATGTACAGTACGGATTTGTGTTTAATATATTTTCGTAAATGATCAGTTATCCAAACAACCCCAGTCCTTAATTGTTTTGGATAATCGATGTTCTACTGTATTCAATAAAAGAGACAGCCATGAGCATTTTGGATTAAAAATGATGAATATAAAAGAGTTTTATAGTATTACATCATATATAAAAAATGCTGATATAGAAAATATGTAGACATTTTTTATATCATTTATTATACAGCTAATACACATGATAGTTTTAAGAATAAAAATGTGCATTATTGTAGTTATGTTTTTAATTTAATTTGAATGGATTGTCTTATATTAAAGTTAAATGATAAACAGGGAATAAATCATTTTGGTAATACATGTTGTTGTTTTAAACATTTTAAAAAAGTTTTAGACTATTTTATTCCATAGTATTTCTTCCCTTCTGTTCTACAACAAGGATTCTTGCAGCAATGTTCTGCAGTCACTTCAGCATCAGGCTGAAGTGACTGCAGAACATTGTATTTGAAAAGAACACAGTATTTGAATATTCTTTTTCTCAAATGTTTTTTTAAACTTTAAATTTTGTATTTTCTATTTTGCTTTGTGTTTTGCAACTGAAGAAGATCCATTAAGCTGGATCAAAAACATTTTTGAGTTCATTAAATTTTAATTGCTGGAATGATATAAATAAAATTTTTGGTATTGGTATTGTTTTTTGTTTTTAAATATACTTATATAGTTGAATACATTGCCAAAATTAACTGGTTATACTTATTTCAAAAATTATTAGCTATTTAAACTACTATGAAATTTGTGAGACTAGTTTGTAAACATACTGTATTTACTCAATTCTAAGAAGCACCTTTATATCCAATAGTATGAAATAAAGATGTGTCTTAGAATTAAAGGGCCAAAACAATTTGTCAGAAATCATTGTGAGTAGACATTTGATGTAATATACACTAGTAATAGACATTTTTGTCTATATTGTTCAACAGTCACATCAATTCAAATGGACATCATAATGCAGCATTAAAAGATAGGTTATCATGCACATTTATTCAAAAGACTGTGGAAAGTGTGAAACATTACCTATTTTTCTGCATTTGCATTATTTTCTAATTTATTGATATTTAAGAAAACAATAAAATTTTCCTCTTCATAAAAATTAAAATTTGATTACAATGTGTCTTAGAATTAAGGAAATATAGTAATATAAGCAAAAGAAAATGAATTTTAGAAATAAAACAGGATGATATAAATTACTATTATTAATATTTTTTAAAAATTAATTAACTAATCTGCAAATACCATACTTAAAATAAAACAATTGAATGTAAGATGCATTTTAATTTCTATATGGTTGTTTGTAGATTTTTTTCCTTTTGATAAAATAGGCAAGTTGAGACCAAATTTTTATCAACAGAACTGATTCTGTTTACATAAATTTGTTTGATATTTATTGCCCAGTAAAGTAAGTTATATATCACTTTTTTCTGGTGTTGAAATTGGAAACCCCTTCCATTTCCATGTTAGGCTATTATGAATCAATACTGGATTCAATGCTCACATCTTTCCACACACGATCATCCTTGGTGTTGTTTGAAGCATTAAAAATGCAACATTTCTTTAAAGAACACTGCACAACTTTTTCTGAAATTTTTATCCAAGTAATTATGACATTATTGTAATATAGTGGAGAGATTGAGTAAATATAACTATTTACTTTTAAATATAACCTATTTGTCTAATCATACAATGGAATTAGTGAAAGAGAAGTGAGACATACCTCACTAGAGGTTGCTAATTATGACATATTACATTGAATGTAAGATGCATCCATTGACGTAGCCAGAGTTTTGTTATGGGGGCCTAGTTTTTGTTTTTTTTAACTCTTTCCACCCTATGGGCACTAAGAGGGCCTCTTTTTGCAAGCCCATTATGGGTTTGGCCAGGCCCACAATGGGGCCACTGGGTGGTGAGGGACGGGGCCTGACATATCCGAACAGATCACCCCCCAAAAATTCCTGGGGATTTTTTGACCTGTTTGGATTTGAACCCGGGTCTCCTGGAGCGGTAGGCTGCCACCTTGACCGCTCGGCCATCTGGCCGCTGGGGGGCCTAGTAGAGGCCAACCTGACACAAAATTGAATTATTTCAAATTATTGTTAGTTAAAATGAAATTTCCATAAGAATCGACAATAACTTAACACACACAAAATATGAAACTTTTTTTAATCATACGTTCTCATAACATTAATATCAAACTCTAGCAATGTCTTAAACAAAAATTAACCAATCAATTATTTTTTTTTACCATTCCTTAATATAGTTCATTGTCTTTAATCTAGATATAGACCAGGAGTGGCCAACAGTTTTTTTCTCTGGGCTAAATTGGAAAGAAAACTTTTTTCACTGCCCGAACCAGAGGCAGCCCTAGCAAGACTTTCAGGTGATGCGAGATCTTATTGTGGCGTCACCCGTAGAGAGACTAAACTGTACATAGAGATTACAGATACACTTTTCACATTGGACACAGAAAGCCGTTGACATTTTTTTTTAGGGGTCAGAATTTCTCAACTTTTCTATAACTTCACATTGTGAGGAAATAAGGAATTATCGCAGATCCATTCGAGCAATTATTTGAAGTTAAGTCCAATATTCAGAGATTGATTACGAGCCGCATAAATTCATTAAGCGTGCTGTATATTGGCTATGCCTGATTGAGAGTTTCAATGGATACACTACACCCAATTAAATTAGCTTCAGCTTTTTATTTCTTTTTGCAAATTGGCTCGACACTTTTTTGGCTGTAATTTTCTGGGCATGGCACCAGGTTAACTGGGGGCATGCCCACCCATGCCCCTTCCTGGCTATGCCCATGGATGCATCCTATTTTCAGAGATACTAAAACCTGGAAAAAAAGTGTTTTTAAATTTGCGTAAATATGGTAATTAGAGAATAAATTTACTAAACTAAATAACAATTTCATTTTAAATTATTATTTTAAAATAATAGTAATATTAAATATATTATCATAATTTATTTTAAATTAAGAAATAAAAATTGCAATGATTTGTTTTTGTCTTATATTCAGAAATTTTAATGTAATATTTTATGCAAAGTTTTAACAATTGAAGTTTTTTAATAAGAGTTATACACTGGATCCTAAACTTTTAGTTTATTTAGAATTTCAATGAATCTGATATTAAGAAGCTGTTATTGTTAGAAATATGTTATCATCTTACATAATGATTTAAACATTGAAGTATATAAATCATTATGTGAGGTAAAATTTTATTATTGTTTTAAGATTGATTATAGTGGTTTTTCTCTTCATTTTTATAATGTATTGAAAGCTATGTATTAAAATTAAGGCACATCCCATAATCATAAAGGCAGTCATTTTAATTAGAAAAATATTAAAATTACATATTTGATCAATGAAATGAGTTTTTAAATTTTTATTTCATGGCTCTATAAAAAATGACGAAAAAAACTGATATTCTATAAAGTAAATTTCTGTAATAAAAAATTTTATTTATCAACATCCAATGGTTTGTGTGTCCCAAAAGTACAAAGGCCATGATTATAATTTCTTTCCAAATAAACAAATTACTTATTGAAGTAGATGCATAAATATTTGTATGGGTGTAGTGATTAATTTATGTATTTTTGTTGCTTGGAAGGCATTTGTTTTTGAAAAAAATAACTGTTTTGAAAGCTGGAGGAAAGTTTAAGTAGAACAATTGCCAGACATTTGGGCAGATCTATCAATACAACTGTAGTTGACAATTTTGTGTTAAAAATTAAAATATAGCACTGAAAATCAACAAGGCCATCAAAGTTATCAACAAGACAGAAACTTATAATAAATAACTTATAACTTAACAGTTGTACAAGTTTTTGATCTTTGTCTTGTCCAGACATTCCTGTAAGTTTAAAAAAAAAAAAATTCAGGAATTTTAAAGATTTGAAAAACTTCATTATAAGAAGAGAAAGAACCAGCATAAAACTATAAGTTATGCATAAAACTGTCATATTGAAATGAGTCAAAGAAATAATGTTTTATACCAGTGTTCCGCAACCGGTGTGCCGCCACAATATGAAAGGCGTGATGCGAACTTTTACATCATCTATTAATTGTCAAGTTTTATTTATATATTTTTATCATAGTTGCTGAGTTTCTTATGCTTGTATTTCATTCTCTGCTGCAGCACTGATGAAATAAGTTGATAATTGTTTATTCTTTATTACAAACCACACATTTTTACATATTCTAAGAAATTAAATGTAAAATAAATTTGCTCACAGGTGTTGATGTCTGTTTAGTAATAATAATAAGAAGAACAATGCTGACAATAATATTTATAATAGGTTAGTGGCATTAAGTAATTCTATTACTAGTATCATACATTTTTGAGGGGAATAACATTTTAGTGTGCCGTGTTGAGTCATGGGTATGCCGCAAGTAGAAAAAAATTGTGGAACATTGTTCTAGACCATCAAATAAGAACAAGTTGTGTTTAGTGATGAAAAAAGTTTAATTTGGATGATGGCTGGCAATGCTATTGGCATGATCTAAGAAGAGCAAATGTATTGTAAGATGCAGCAAGGAGGTGATAATATTATGGTTTGAGCTGGGTTTGGATTATTAGGTAAAACTAATGTTGACTTTGTTAATGGTAAAATGAATGCTACTGTTTATCAGACTTTGCTTGAAAATCACCATCTTTCATTTGGAGGAAAAATTGGAAGCATCTTCTGGATCTTTCAACAAGACAATGCTCCAGTTTGTATTGCAGAATTAGCATTTGAGTGATTTTTGGATAATAGTGTGCAAGTTATGGATTGGCCAACATTGCCTCTTGACTTATCTTTATTGAAAATCTATGAGAAAAATTGGCAAAGTCTGTATACAACATTTTGATATCATTTTCCAATGTTGTTGATTTAAAAAGTGCCATTGGTACTTGCTGGGAAAAAATTGACTAGAAAAATTGTTGAGATATAATTTTGAAGTTACCAGATCATTGTCTAAAACTATGAGTAATTGATAATGGAGATAACTTTATTTGTTTATTAGAATACAATGCCTTTATAATTTTGGGACATAATCAAATTTACTGTATTCATAAAAATTTTGCTCTTTGATTATTTTTTAATGAATTTTTTTATTAAATGTTTATTTTTTACATATTTCTGATAATATAGATATATATATATTATCAGAAATATGTAAAAAATAAACATTTAATAAAAAAATTCATTAAAAAATAATCAAAGAGCAAAATTTTTATNAGTTATTTTCGTTGCTTGATTGTAAATAATAATATAAATACATAAACAGTGCACTCAGTAGAAAGTTACAGGAATCTTACTTTACCACCTAATGCTGGCTGAGAAAAACCTGAAGATAGTCTGATAATAGGTTGAAAATGTTTATTTACTAAAAAATTTTTCTCAGCAAGCATTAGTTGGCAAAGTAAGATTGTTAATAATTTAAACTTTTAAGTGACTGCCTTT